CTCGGAAGTTGATACGCGCCCCCGGGACCGCATACGGTGGCAGGGTGGGAGTGTTTATTCGCTGATCTAAACGCGCAATTCTCTTGCGGGATGAGAAACTTTGGCAAAATTTAAAAAGGGCGACTTCTCACTCAAGTCTTTTTAAAGGTAGTTCCACTCCCCGAGAACCTTTGACGCTTCTGTTTGATAAATTAAATGTAGATGTCTGGAGGTATTTAGTGCATTTGTGAGTGACAGGCTAGGTCTCAATATCCTTTTAACCTAAGTGCGAAATCTTTGAGGCAACCTCTCTGCCCCTTTGATTTTTGCGTATTACCAGCCGGAAGAAAGCGTAGTACATGAAGTAAGGTCAGCTCCTGGTTTGAAGGGTCTCTTTCAAACCAAAGCTGAGAACTTGCTCAGGTCCAGACTTTCATTTTTGCTTAAGAGAAATGGGATAGAAAGCGTTAAGACTGTATTTGTGAAAGTGGATTTTGACAGACCCCAAAATAGACCAGCAGCTGGAGTTTCTCCCCTTCCCTTTTCACATTTTTTGGATTACAAATGGAATAATATCTGCTTCAGTTATTCCTGGCACACAGACACCCACAAAAACACACACACCTTTTAATATATGGTTGCTAGGTTGCTGGCTTGCTTTGACATACAGTGAGCTGTCTTCCCCTTTCTCCTGTTCCCTCCCCCCTAAACGCACTCGATACAGTGCATAACCTGGCTGTACGAAGGATCTAACACTTAGGGAAACCAGAAACAAAGTTAGAGTGTGAGAAGTTACGCTACTTGTTTGTTTGTGTATTTGGGTTCAGGGAGGTGGGCGTCCAGTTCGGATTGCCTAAACGAACCTCCGCATTCCAGTTGGAAGTAGCACAGTTACAGTGAACGTGGCCTATCTATGGAAGAAGGGATTGCTAGAGATAAGGAATAAATAAAAGCTTTTAACTCAGCCTTAAGCTTCGTGAAACCTATCAGGCAGTATCACTTCTCTATAGGCATTTTTTATTGCGCTCAAAACCAAACCTGAACTTTCTCAGAGAGGTGTTAGCCAGGTATGATGACAAAGCTCAAATGACTTTGTGATAATAAGCGTGTCTTGTAAAATACCATTTTCTACACCAGTAAAAGGTGATTTTCAAGAACGGGTGGGTAGTTAAGACTTAGCTTCAGTTGCTTCTGTGTGTATTTAGCATTTTCCTCTCCACATGATGAGACAAATCTGCAAGGGCTATCGGGGATCTTGATGAAAAAGAAAATCCTCCAGGTTATCACCTTGTGCTTCTTTCCTTGAGAGAATGAAAGTTAGAGACTTGTACACAGTCTTCTTACGCATAGTATCTACGTGGGTGTTGTTGGTCTGATAGTCCATTGTTGGGACACAGTCAGTTAAAGCAGATCATTCATTTCTTAACCGGTACAGAAAGGCATATCCAAATTGTCTTTAAAACCTCTTAGGCTAAGTGTATCAGCTCGCTAAATAACAGGTATCATCGAGGGGTTCCAGCGCTTCCAGACTGAATGATTTGACATACTGTGGCTAAGTCAGGTTGCAAGATTGGAGTTTGTTTCATGTTTGAGACCTGAAGTAGCTATGTCCATGAATATCATTCCCTGGGGCAGGAGGATGAAGGACTCCGCAGGTAGGGGGAGATATACGTCTCTTTTTAGATTGTATTTGTTCCACTTACAAGGGTTTTCAAGCCTCTGGTGAAGAAGAACTTTCAGGGACTGATCCTGCATTTCTTACATGCTAAAACGGGGAATTGGAGGGAATTCTGTGTGTGTAAGGAGTAACTAGTTATTGGAAAACACTTTTCTAGTATTTAGTATTTATGGTATAAAGGCTGACTGAAGTAACAACTGGAAATGTCTTAAACTTTGCTGTTATCAAACACATGCTTTGTGCTGCATGGTAACTTGGGAAAGGCTGCCGAGGCTGCCGGTGAAAAATGTGAATGCATATATATGCTATGTCGACTATATCGGACCTGCTAGCAAAAGCAATTTTACAAGAAGTAGCTCCTCCTACTGCGGGGCTGAAGAAGTTTTCTGCGTGTTAGGACTTTTCCTTCCCTGCGCTGCCTCTTCTGCTGCTCCGCAGGCTGCAGCAGAGGTGGGTTATCCAACATCGCCTCACCATCTACGTAAAGAGGGGTCCCAGCGAGTGAGCTGAAAGAAATCTTTTTCAAGTCTACTTTCTGTGGCTTCTTATTGAATTCACATATATATGTGAATAATTCACAGAGTTACTGTGCTAACACCCGTGTCCATCCATGTTATTGCAAGTAACTGCAGAAAGTTTCTTTTTTTTTCCCCCCGCTATATTCTAAGCACAACATTGTATTCCTCAGATTTGTCAACTTGATTTTGGGATGTAACGCTTTTTAATGGCTGCATAGAAGGATTTAGAATGTATTTGGTTTTTTTTTTTTTCCCCCTCCTCAACTCATTGAATTTAAGGTTGGAATTTAAAAACGTGATAAAACAGTTTAACACTTTTTGGTATGAAATTTCACTACAGGTTTTTTTTCTTTCTTGGAGATAAAGTCAAGATACTGTAAGTCAAGAATACGAAAACTTCTGGTAACAGAGTGATAAACGTTGCCTCTTAAAATTCCATATCCAATTTATGTCATCGTATAGGAATAGAACACCAATATTAATCATGTACTAAAAATGATTGCTGAAGTTCTAGGATTTTGATGCTCTGTACTCGCTTTGTGAGATGACATTCTTTAAAATCTGTCAAAAAGAAAAATGTAAGCCTTGACCTATGTTTTCAGTGTTTCATGTAATGTGAGAGTCATTGCAATCGAAGCCCTTGTATTCCTTTATTTAATATGGTATATCATTTTAGAGGTAATTCTTCTAAAAGTAGCTGCAGTCGTATTGCAGAGACTTAACAAATGCTGTTTTTCTCCTCAGTGTTTACATCTACGTTTTTAGGAATGCTTAGATATTGTTAAAGAACTCGTCTTCTCTTTGCTTTTTCTTTGTCCCTTGACCAACTCATTCCTGTTTGAGTATGAAAAGTAGAATGTGAGATTGAAATTCAGTGCCCTGGACTCTGACACCATTAGTTGCTCTTGTTTCTGGAAAGAATAAGAAAAATAAAATAAATATTCATGATGAAGTACACAGTTACACATAGTGGCTAAATGCATATTATACATTCTGTAGTTCTTTTGATCATATGGATCTGCTACCGCATTTTCTGTGCTCCTGAAGGGCATTGTCTACCGACATTATCTGATGCTACGCTTTGGCTTTGAACAAACTCTCAACCGAGAAGGCGGTGCAGTGGAATGAGAAAGCACAAGTTTGGGGCACAGCCGGCTCCTGAAGCTGGCCAGTGCAGAATGAAGTGAAATTTGTACCCTTTCGAGGAGTGTGATACGGGACCCTATGTCACTGCTCCTTGGTTCCCCAAAGAGCGGTACCCCTTATCTACCTTACGCCTTCAAGGCTCTAGCAGGCAGAATGTATCTTAGAATCATAGGGTCATAGAATAGTTTGGGTTGGAAGGGACCTCTAAAGGTCATCTAGTCCAACCCCCCTGCCGTGGGCAGGGACATCTTCAACTAGATCAGGTTGCTCAGAGCCCCGTCCAACCTGTCCTTGAATGTTTCTTTACCGCTATGGTCCTGTTGGAATGATTTCAGTGTTTAGAAGAGCTTTCCCCCTGCCCCAACCTAGGACTCACATACATGTAAAATGAAATTACATTATGATTATAGATGGCAGTTGCTGTCCTGAAGTCACAAGCCATAATAATCTTCCTTCATATTCGTCTACATATTTTGGAAGTTTAATAAAAAATGCAGTGCTAGATTTGGTCAGTAGAAACCCATCAACATTCCCATTTGTTTTGAATAGAAAAATTGACATTTTATTGGAAGTACCGTATTTGCAGAAGTCTTCTTTGAGAAGTTAAGAATTTCCACCCAGACCTCTAAGGCCTGAGAAAATTGGCAACTGGAAAAATTTCAGTTTTCCCTAAAAGAAGCAGCATTTCTGCCAAACCGGCTCTCGTATAGCTAGGTTTGCCGCTTTCCTAGCAACGCCTGCATAAACCTCCTCTCCAAATAAAATTAAAGAAACAAACTCAAAACGGGGCACTATATAGTGGGAAAAGTATGATAGTAGAGTAGAAGGCACGCGTGGACACGTAACGCAGGAGATCCCTTCATTTAAATCTGTGTGTGGAAACCTCACCTTGACTCTCTCAAAGAGGTACCGAGCAGAAGCGTATGAACAACTGGAAGGCTCAAGGGATTAGCAGCGGACTGTAATGCATTTCGCTCGTTAGTCACATGCGTGGCTTGGCTCCAGGCACTGCATCGTTCCTGTCTCATGGCTATCAGGTGCTCTGCGTGTAATTACTCCGTGAGCGTCCCACCGGACAGGTTGCCAATGGGGAGACGGACACGGTGGAGAGGTCAAGGACTGAAAGAAAAGGTACTCGCAGCTCTTCGCAGATGGTGGTTCTACAAGTGAAAAAGGCACCGATACGGAGAGGCGTGCGCTGCTGTTCTCCGCGCTGTGAAAAAGATGACTCTCTCGGCTCTCTGGAGCTCGTAATGGATTTCAGATTTTATAAACTCATGCTAAAATTGGTTATGTACGCAGAAAAGAAAATGTATGGACAAGGATTGAAGCTGTAAACCAAACAATCACGACCGAAATGTTATTTTGATGCAGTATCATACTTATTTTCAAGGCTT